CCCATCCATCCACCCATCCACCCATCCACCCACGCACCCATCCACGCACCCATCCACGTACCCATCCACCCACTCCACCCATCCACCCACTCCACCCATCCACCCATCCACCCACCCACCCATCATGTATGTTGTGACAGAAATTGGCGAGCCAGCCAGAAGTTAATTCCCATAAGACACAGAAAACAAAAATGGGAACAATAGCTAACATTTATAGCAATTATCAATTGGTGTGTATTCTAAAGAACTATGACTTTAAAGAAGAGAGATTAGCCAGGAATTGGTGTCTCACACCTGTAATCCTACTTAGTAGGCTCAGATCTGGGGATTGCGGCTCAAAGCCAGCCCAGCCAAGAAAGTCCAATACTCTTATCTCCAATTAATCACCAAAAGACTGGACTGGAAGTAGAGTTGTGGCTCAAATGGTAGAGTGCTACACTTGAGCAAAACTTTAGCTCAGGGACAGTGCCCAGGTCCTGAATTCAAGTGCCTCAGAGCCAGAAGGAAAAAAAAGCTTTATTATTATAATGTGTGTATGTGTGGTCTATCTATCTATCTATCTATCTATCTATCTATCTATCTATCTATCTATCCATCTCATTATAAATTAGATAATGGGCCAGGTGCCAGTGGCTCACACCTGTAATCCTAGCTACTCAGGAGTCTGAGCTCTGAGGAGCATGGTTCAAAGCCAGCTCAGAGAAAAGTCCCCATGACTCCAATTAACCACTCAAAAACCAGAAGTAGAGCTGTGGCTCAAAGTGGTAGAGCCTTGAGCACAAGAGCTCAGGGATAGCGCCCAGGTCTTGAATTCAAGTCCTACATAATTAATTAGATAATGGAAAATCTTGCCCTGTAAATGGACACACTTATATTAATACAATATTCCTGCTTATTTTCATTTTGAGAAACGACAAGAGTAAATTGTCTGAAATTCTCTTTATGTACAGTTTTTTTGGATGACAGAAATATCTCACTATATGTACACATGTACACACACACACACACACACACACACACACACACACACACACGTTTCTAAGAACACTGGGAAAATCTTAGATCAATTTAAGATTATAACTACTACTGGTGACCTCAACTAGAAGGACTTTGATGTTCTATTCTCAGTCTGTTGCACTCAAGGAGTGAAGAATACCATTGGACAGCAGCAGCTCAAGGTTATGATAATGAGGTCCATGTCAGGGATAAAATAAAATCAATGGGAAATCTTATCATTCTCAATGATGAAGCCAACTGGAGCTACTGAGTTGGGAATACCAATGTAGAACTTTTTAACTGCATGATTAATTATGACAAAGTATAACTCAGGAAAAGGATGGTTAACAGAGACACCTGGAATCTGTACTAATACCAGCCCAGATTCAATAGGACAAACATTAGTAAACTAGCCTTTTTAACAGATTTCAACAATTAGGATTTAATGGTATAACAAAGAAGTATAACAAAGAGAGGTAAATTACCAGCAAGAGAGGCAAGCCCAATTATATGCTGAAATGCAAGGTCAAATACTACCTATGATTATCAACAGAAAATTTCCCTCTAAAGGAATGCCTCCCCAAGGAATGACTCAGGGCAACTCTAAATAGCATGCTGATGCAAGCAACTTAAAGAGGAAATGCTATAAATGTGGAAAAAAGAACACTGGAAAGCCAAATGTCCTAAGAAGGGGCCACTATATCCAACACCCCCTCTGCTGTGAGAGTTAACACTAGAAAAAGGACTGGAGAAAGGGTTTCCCATCTCCAAACTGGCAGTTTTTGAGAATTAAAGGTACCCAAAGGTTCCCACTATTCGAGCCCAACAAGTCAACTCTTCAATATCCTTGGGAACCCCAGGTATCTCTTGAGTTAGTTAGAAGATTTTTAATAGATAATAGGGATCAGTATTCTGCCTTAATTGGATTCCCTGATCTCTTTCTGAACAAAACTGCATAGTAACTGATGTTGATGGATCTGCTAAGATTAAAGTTTCATTGCCCTTTTAATTTGCAGGGATGAAGTTTTATTTCCTCTTAAAGATTTCTTGCTTTACCAAAATGTCCCACTATACTCTTGGGCAGAAATATTTTGATTACTTTGGGAATAAATTAAAAATTGTGTGAATTGTTATGTAAGAAGGTAACCTGAGATTGTTTTCTTCCTTTACCTTCACTAGAATAATAAGATGAACTAGAAGTATTTCATGTTAAAAATTTTGTTTAAATTAAATTTTTTAATCATTTCAAATTAAACCACAAAGGATGGAGAACTATTTTTAAAAAATCATCTCATACAAGAGATCTTTTCTCAAGTTAGAAAGATATAAAAAGTTATAAGGCTATAATTTGGGGGGGAAAAAAGGTTAAAGGGCCAGATGCCAGTGGCTTACACTTGTAATTCTAGCTACTCAGGATTTGAAACTAGATTGGCAGGAAAGTTCATAAGACTCTTATCTCATATTAATCCCCAGAAAACTAGAAGCGGTACTCTGTGGCTCAAAGTGGTAGAGTGCTAGCCCTGAGTGAAAAATCTCAAAGACAGTACCCAGTCCAGGGCAAGTTCAAAGCCCAGGGCTTGAGTTCAAGCCTAACAACTGACCAAAACAAAAGCAAAAACAAGTGTGTGTGTGTGTGTGTGTGTGTGTGTGTGTGTGTGTGTAAAAAATGTGAGAAAGAAATGGCTCAGTGTAATCCTAGGTACTCAGTTGTCTGAGATCTGAGGATTGTGGTTCAAAGCTAGCCGGGGCAGGAAAGTCCATGAGACTCTTATCTCCAATAAACTCAAAAGAGCCAGAAATGGCACCATAGCTCAAGTGGTAGAATGCTTACCTTGAGTGAAAGAAGCTCAGGGACACACCCAGGCCCAAAGTTCAAGTCTCAGGACCAGCAAAAAAAAAAAAAAAGTGGTAGAACACTAGCCCTGAACAAAAGCGCTCAGTGACATCTTCCAGGCCCTGAGGTTCAAGCCCCAGATTCTAAACTATATATTAATAGATATTTGTGCAATCTGTAACTATGATGCCAATGGTAGTTATTGTATATTAAATGAGTTCCCCAAATAAGCCATCTAAATGCCAAGCATAGCAAGACACTTTATCAAGCTAGTAACCTGTAAATAAAAACTGTTAGTGATTCTAGCCTATTTTTAACAGTTTTGTATACCTTTGCTACTATACAAGAGCTTGATTGTGCCAGTGTAATGCTGCTAATCATAATTATTATCCTTAAAATGTCATGTGCAATGGAAATAATTACTACACTATTTCTGCAAAGCTGTAAACATGGCTATTCTAAATTTCTACCATCTACAGTTTGTATCCTTCTCCAAGGCATTTATGATCAAACTCACAGAATACATCTTCAGCAAGTACTTGTTTTTCAACTATTATGGTCTTGGTGCTTTTTTGAAAGGGTAACATTTAAGTCTGATGCTAAAAATAGCCATGAAGATTAATAAAAATCTTTTGTTCCCAGCAGCAGGAGGATGAGGAGGAGGAGGAGGAGGAGAGAAGGAAGAGAAGAAAAATCAATGCAAGTTAGGCAAAGTACAAAAGCTAAAGGCTGGTAACTTAAATTTCCAGGAAAAAAAAAAAGAGCTATTTCAAATCTTTCTCTATCTCCTTTCCTCCCTCTTTCTTTCCCTCTCCACTCCCTTCCCCCCACACACTGCTGTAGAGCAGGTACTCTACCTCAGCCTTTTTCATTCCCCACTCCTCATTAGGTCTTGAACTCTGGGCCTGAGTGCTGTACCTGAGTTCTTCAGCTCAAGATTAGCACTCTACCACAGCACCACTTCCAGTTTTCTGGTGGTTAATTGGAGAAGAGTCTCATGGACTTTCCTGCCAGGCTGGCTTTGAATCATGATCCTCAGATCTCAGCCTCCTGAGTAGGTAGGATTACAGGCATGAGCCACAGGCACCCGGCTCTTGTACCTTTTCTTGTAAGCCAAGGAAAAAATATATTTAAGAAAAAAAGTTAGCACTTGCCTTGAGCTGAAGAGCGCAGGGACAGCACCCAAGCCCAGAGTTCAAGCCCCATTACCAGCAAAAAAGAAAAAAAGTTGTATTTTTTTTGAAAATTCTAGCAAAATTACAAACGAATACAAATGGATAAAGAAGTAGAAATAGAAGCATGAAATTATGGAGTCTTGGTCTAAAGGAAGCTAAAATTAGAAACAGAAAGTAGAACAAACATAACAAGAGAAAGGGAAAAAAGCGCAAACTAGATAAAGCCTGTTTGCTAAACACATCAAAGGAAATGAGATTCAAAACTGCAAAAGTCTAAGAGAATGATGGTTTTACTAACAAAAGACATGTAAGTAGGCAAAGCATAACTGCTTTCTTGGATATTAGACAACTCTCTATTCTTGTTTTTTCTTATTCTGGTGCAACATTCAAGGTTAAGAATGAGGTTATTTGAAATTCTTTTTTTTTTTGATCCGGTTGTGGGGCCTGAACTCTGGGCCTGAGCACTGTCCCTCAGCTCTTCAACTCAAGGCTAGTGCTCTACCACTTGAGCCACAGCACCACTTCCAGCTTTTTTCTTTTTGCTTATGTGGTGCTGAGAAATCGAACCCAGGGCCTCATGCATGCAAGGCAAGCGCTCTACCACTGAGCCAACTTCCCAGCGCCGCTATTTGAAATTCTATTTGCCAGCACAATCTGGGAAAATGCATCTTCACCAGGTAAAATGGTAAACATGGGCTAGGGTTCATTCAGACTAAGTGTCCTTAAAATGTTTACTCATGGGAGGCAGAGGGATGTTTTCTCCCTTCCCAAGGTTATGTTTGTTTACCCATTCACATACATGTAAATGAACATAAATGAGTATATATTAGAGTGAATATCCCATGTCCATTCTTTCAACTAGAATTAACATTAAAGAGAAAAGCATCAAGTATAAAATAAGTATCAATTAAACCATAAATGAAAGGAAAGGGTAGTAGTTAAAAAGTTGAAATAAAATTACAATGGATCAAGTTAAAATAAAATGAATAAATTACCTGACTAATCAAATGCTGGTCAAGTACCAGTTTATATTTAATGGTCTCTGAGTCCACTGTTCAGCAAGTATTTTGAGCCTGAGAACAAAAAAAGGAGGAAGGGTTGAATTTTATTGCCCTTTCTTCAAATAAACATTAGTATCAGTCAAACATAAATTCACTGTTCCAATCTCTTCCTTCCTTCAACTTAAAACAAAAACAAATAAAAGCTATCAAGTACAATGCCTCTTCCTAAGAATTTGAGTAAATGCCTTATTTTCCCATGTATCAATACTTCTGCCTTTTCCTTTTTTTTAATGTATGGTATACACAATATACTCTGTCACTGTTTGTAAATATGGATAAGTAAAGTGGGAATGAAGGAGACCAGCTGTAAATCCTAAGAAGTGATCTGAACAGATGGATGCTCTGAATTTGTAGATCCCTCTCACATGTCCAAAATGAAAGCTCAACAGAAAAGAATTACATTAAGACCCTGGTAGAAGCTAATTCTTAAATACTCGCAGTTCAAACAAGATCAATACCCACATAAAGGAACAGATGAAGGACTACAACAAGCAGCATACAGAGAAAGGAGGGGGATGTTTTCTCACTCGCTATAAAGGATGTGTTTGAATCACCAATAGAGAAATATTATAAATGGGGAATCTAGAGACAATATTACAATAATATGCAATAAAAAATATGAACAAAGAAACAGACTTTTGCACAAGTAGAAATGAGGAGCAAGTAAAAACATTCACCTCCCCTATGAATTTCCAAATGTACAATGAAACAACAATCTGTCAATGATTCTAGTGGCATCTTTATCAAGACAACAACCATAACTACAATATGCCCTAAAGTTAATAACATTCATGCTGGCATTGACAGGCCTTTGGAAAAGGGTAAGAAAATACATTCATAAATTCTGAGAACCAAGCATATTATAGCTATAGCGAACTGATAAAGCACATAGGGAAAGCAAACCATCATCTATCCACCTTGTGTGAATGGCACTACACTTTGAATACCAAAGGGGAGAAAATGGAGGGAGAGGTACAGCATATATAGTTAGCAAAAGGAAAGGAGAAAATCCAGGTAATAGTAACAATGCTGTGTAATTACATGTCTACATATAATCAGAGTACAGTTATAGGGTTATAACTGAGATAGGTACCAAAAAGAAGCTTTTGTATTTTTAACTTGAAATGCATCTATAATTAATAATACAACTAGTTGTTAGCATTAGACGGATACAGTAGGTTAGATGTAGATTGCCAGTTTTTTCCCTTACTTGGTAGGCACCTGGTTCAGACTAAGACTCTTTAGAGCTATATAGGTACGTAGACATATATATACACATACACATACATATAGAAATTAATATACAGAGATAGAAGTGGATACATACATACATATGTGCACACATATACACATACATCGTAAGGCTTTTGTGAGCATTAAATGAAAATTTATCAATTATTTATTGGTAACTAGCATATAAAGCTCAAAAATTAAACTTTTACTAACCCAAGACTATTTAACAAATAATATAACTGAAGAAGTTCCAGGGCTGGGAATGTGGCTTACTGGTAGAGCGCTTGCCTAACATGCATGAAGCCCTGGGTTCCATTCCTCAGTACCACATGAACAGAAAAAGCCGGAAGTGGCGACGTGGCTCAAGTGGTAGAGTGCTAGCCTTGAGCAAAAAAAAAAAGCACAAGGAGAGTGTCCGAGTCCTGAGTTCAAATCTCAGGACTCGTCAAAAAAAAAAAAAAAAAAAAAAAAGAATTTCCAAGCACACTAAACTAAAAATAGTAAACATACTTGTTTTTATTTTTAAATGAATTCAGTATTTTTTAATGTTAATCTTGTGGTCTTATTCAATTAGATAAAAATGGAGAGGAGAAAGGTAGGCAGAACAATTCAGGTTTTCTTGGCCCTTGTTTTAAATCAGGTTTCACTTCAGTACTTCGCCTCAGGTTCTTTGGCTGTTACTGTTCCTTTTTTATGGTGGATTATGGGGTAAGTACACCTAAGAAGTAAGTACAGTGGGGTATGAGAAGGAACTCAAGTCAGAAAATATCTAAGTACCACTACCTAGTGTGGAAAGTTGGTAACAAACTACCTAGGCTAATATTCAACTACTGTAAAGCTGGTTTTCACACTCTGGAAGGAATGTTAACCCTTACCAATCTGCACACTCAGGATAAAGACACACTGTCTACAAAATACAAAATCCTGGAAAGCATATAGCTAACCTCCAGAGATTCCTGGATAGTCAAAGATCAATGACTGGCTTGTTTCCTGGGAACTTGGGGGTAAACAGTCTTGAAAAGTACTATATTCAACAGTCCTCTAAAGCTGTTTAAAAAAAATGTTGGTGAGTTAAAAACTGTCTGGAGCCAAGATTTGTTGGATATATTGGCTTTATCAAAAAATAAGTTTACACAGGGTGTCAGTGGCCCATGCCTGTAATCCTAGCTACTCAGAAGACTGAGATCTGAGGAACTCAGTTCGAAGCCAGCCAAGGCAGGCTCAATTGAAGCCTCTTATCTTCAATTAACCCCGAGAAAACCGGAAGTGGCACTATGGCTCAAAGGAGAGTGTTAGCTTTGAGTGAAAAAGCTCAAGAACAGTGCCTAGGCCCTGAGTTCAAGCCCCACGACTAACAACAACAGTTTATTCTTAGCTTTTTCCTAATCTGGACCGACTTTTAGTCAATTACATACACAAATATTAAATCACACTAACATAAAAACTCACTGACACTTAAAAAATGTTAGATATCTGAGAATGTAGGGAAAGAAAAAAAGAACCATTTTTTGCTACATTTAACAGAACAGAAAAATGACTGACAAGACTATATTATCAAAACCTGCTTGGGCTGGGAAGGTGGCTCAGTGGTAGAGCACTTGCCTTGCACGCTCAAGGCCCTGGGTTCGATTCCTCAGCACCAAATAAGAAAAAAGCCAGAAGTGGCGCTGTGGCTCAAGTGGTAGAGTGCTAGCCTTGAGCTGAAGAGCTGAGGGACAGTGCCCAGGCCCAGAGTTCAGGCCCCAAGACCAGACCCAAAAAAAAAAAACCTGCTTCAAAAGAAGCTAATAGAGAAGGGAAAAAAAAGAAATCAAACCAAGCTCGGTTAATAGCTAGCCTGTGAAGACATGCTTGAAGGACAGAACAAAGAATCGAACTGGAAAAGAGAAAAGGAAATCCACTCTACAGTGCTACTTGAGAACACCAACAAGACAAAAAGTGGCCATCAAATATAATAAACATGTGGTAGGGAGCAGATGCTGGTGGCTCACACCTGTAATTCTAGCTACTTAGGAGGCTGAGATCTAAGGACCACAGTTCAAAGCCAGCCTGGGCAGAAAAAGTCCCTGTGAGACTCTTATCTCCAATTAACTACTCAAAAACCAGAAGTGTCACTGTAGTTCAAGTGATAGGTCGGTAATCTTGAGCACAGAGAGGCTCAGGGACAGTACCCAGGCCCAGAGTTCAACCAACCACAACAACCCCCAAAAAAAGGAGGTGGAGGGAGGGTTGCTAAACATGGAAGAGGCAAGGACTCTGCTATTAACCTACAAACTATTGGCTACCCCTGTCATTACTCAAGACTCCTCACTTCTTTTTTTTGGGGTCCGGTCGTGGGGCCTGAACTCTGGGCCTGAGCGCTGTCCCTCAGCTCTTCAGCTCAAGGCTAGCACTCTACCACTTGAGCCACAGCGCCACTTCCGGCTTTTTTTTTCTGCTTATGTGGTGCTGAGGAATCGAACCCAGGGTCTCATGCATGCAAGGCAAGTGTTCTACCACTGAGCCACCTTCCCAGCCCAACAGACTCCTCACTTCTTAAATCCCAGAAATGGCAGCTTCAACCTCCAGAGGACAATCAACTATTGCTGATTTTCAAATCATTACAGGATAAACTGGTTTGCCAGTTTTTAGGTTTTTTGAAAGTTGTGTCACATCACTGTTAAATTTAACATTCTTTTGCAGTTGGAATTATTAACCAAGTGACAAATAAATCCTTTGTTATAACTATAACAACTGATTTCATTTCTAGCAATCAACTGATCTGTAGCTGTACTATGGGGGAAAATAGAATGCATTGAACTCATGTGACAGTTTAAAATTATATAAGATGGATGTTTCTGAGGTAAAGACATACTCATTAAAAAAATTTGGGGGGGGGGGGGGGTCAGTCATGAGGCTTGAACCTTCAGGGCTTAGGTGCTATCCTTGAGCTTTTTCACTTTAGGATAACACTCTATCACTTGGAGCCACAGCACCACTTCTGATTTTCTGGTGGTTAACTGGAGATAAGAGTCTCACACAGAAGAGGTGCTGTGGCTCAAGCAGTAAAGTGCTCGCCTTGAGCTGAAGAGCATAGGGTTAGCACCCAAGCCCAGAGTTCAAGCCCCAGACCGACCAAAAAAGAAAAGTCTCACAGACTTTCCTGCCTGGGCTGGCCTAGAACTGTGATCCCCTCAGATCTTAGCCTCCTGAGTAGCTAGGATTACAGGTGTGAGCTATCTGGGCTAGTAAAACCTTTTTAAAACTATCTCTTAGCCATTACTATGCTGAAATCAGTTAAAATGCTTTTAGTACTCAGGAGAAAACTGGTGAGATACTGACCACAACTTTTAAAAATACTATTACCACTTTGTTAAGGGCAGAAGAGAATGAATTGTTATTACATAGTAAATTAAGAATAACGTTCAAAAAGTTGTTATGTATTACAATTTACTTATCCTATGATATACTAAAAAGGATCAAGCTGACTTAAAATAATTTATTTTAAGCACAGTGCCAGTGATTCATGTCATAATTCTAGCTACTCAGTAGGCTGAGATCTGAGAATCACGGTTCAAAGCCAGCCCAGGCAGGAAAGTCTGTGAGACATCTCCAATTAACCACCAAAACACTGGAAGTAGAACTGTAGGCTCAAGAAGTAGAATGCTAGCCTAGAGGAAAAAAAAGTCAGTGACAACAACCAGGTCCTGAATTCAAGTCCCAGAACTAGCAATAATAATAATAGCAATAATTTATTCTGCACATTCATTAATAAATTATAATACACGTTTAGTTGTAGG